TTATTTATCATCCAAAATCATTCTTCCAACTTTTTCAGTTTGTAGACAGTAATTAGCAGTGTCTTCAGTGTAAAAAGTACTGCTAACAGCTTCAGTAGCAGAGCCATTAGTGATGTCATTTGATTGTGACGTCATGGTAACCGTGCTTCCGGTTACCGTGACGGTTTTTGGTAACGAAATGTCGTAAATAGGGTTTAGAAACAAAATAAAATGCAAGATACAATCATATATCATTTAATGTTTCAATAATCACATCCTTGATGATATTGTTCTATGTTTACATTTGCACGTTACGATAATAAAAGAGGGGCGGTAACTCCTCACCACATACTCCTTTAACGGGAAAAGTTTTCTTGTTTTGCTCCTTTTGATAGCTGACTATCGAAACAAAATTTTGCTTTAAAAAAGGTGATTTCTACCGATATGGTATGTTTCAATGAATTTTAATCTTGAAATGGGAAAAATCAAGTAAATGAAAAAAGTATGTATGAGAAATATTTAGGAGAAGTATTCTGTAATAAACAACCTCGAATGATTGATTAAAGTACTCATGGAAATGAAAAAAACCACAAAGCATTACGTAGATGGAAATACGAAATAACAAAACAACTGGAAAGGTACTAGTCTGGACTTGCTAGTTTTATTTATCTCATTACTTAATACAAAATGTACTTTACAGGAGGTAATTTGTGGGCACTTTCAACATTCAAAAATGAAACTAAGTCCAAATTGACATGGCAGAAACAGGCTATCGGCATTATGCAAATTAGCCTGGAAAAAAAGTTATCAAAACAACAATAAAAATAACAGCTTTGTTTATGTACATAATAATAATGACATGTAAGTTGTTGTTGAGAAGGAAATGTGTTACTCTTACGTTACACACGGGTGTCATTCGAGTTACAACCAAGCGATGCTCTGGTAAAGCTCCGGTAATGCACCAGTTACACCCGGGTGTCATTCGAGTTACAATCAAGCGATGCTCTGGTAAAGCTCCGGTAATGCACCAGTTACATAGGGATGTCATTCGAGTTACAACCAAGCGATGCTCTGGTAAAGCTCCGGTAATGCACCAGTTACATAGGGATGTCATTCGAGTTACAACCAAGCGATGCTCTGGTAAAGCTCCGGTAATGCACCAGTTACACATGGTTGTCATTCGAGTCATACCTTTATGACATTAATAGGAGAATTAATATATTTTTTGCAGGATGTTTGTAAACTCGGAAAAATAACCACAACTATATGGTGCATCGTATATCACAAATTATGTACGCACGTCCTACATATAATACAATATGTCTTGTATCTTGTATATACCGACGCATTTCGAAAACGCAAGTTGTTATATTTGGCGTAATGTCCCAAAAGTCAAAAGTTGTTCTGTGCATGAGATAATCAAACAACAATGTCTCCACAACATAATCTGGGGTGGTACAATGTCACGCAGTCAACCAAGTCACCGTGCCTGGCCAATTGCAAGCTGGAGCTCACGTTTAACTCGGAATCACCACGGGTTTGAATATTACATTGTGGAAATTATTGTTAAACCAAAACCCACCTTCTTATTGTCATTTTATTAAACATCTTATTTTACAATCTAAATTTGCAAGCACAACATAAGAATAAATGAGTTGAATTGGTTGATAAATGTGCTCTTTGACTGGTAGAATAGGAGTTATCGTTCTTGGTTGAAGCAGCATGGCGTGGCACCTGTCTCAATTAGGCTTGTGCCAGAATGGCGCGAGTTGGTCACGATGAATTCAGACGGCATTCAGCATGGAGTGTGTCCGCCATTAGCGTTAACTGTCACACATCATGTAACACGTGTTTCTGTTGACGTACATCACTTAAAAGCCTGTTGTCTGTGATTCTTGTTCTGTATATAATGTTTTGTTGATCCCAATTTAGAGGGAAGGAATATGGCATAGAGACTGACTGTTATAAATGAAAACCACTCTCCATTATATTCAGGGACCCCATTTAGGAGGTTAACGCAGTGTTGAAGAGTATTCCAGTCATTTCACGGCGTGTCAGCCTGATGTGTCGTACACGTTTAGCACTGGTAAAAACAGTCAGAGCGTGGTGCTTACAAATTGGGATCTGGGATTCGAACCCACGCTTAGGGATCCAGGCAGGAGACGTGGCAGCAAATAGTAACCAGGTGACAACTTGACAACATGATATAGTTTAAAACTTTATTAAAAACAAATTTACAAATGTCGTGAGTGAGTTTGGTTTTACGCCGCTTTTAGCAATATTCCAGCAATATCACGGCGGGGGACACCAGAAATGGGCTTCACACATTGTACCCATGTCGGGAATCGAACCCGGGTCTTCGGCGTGACGAGCGAACGCTTTAACCACTAGGCTGTCCGACTGTCCGACTGCCCTACAAATGTCATGAGGGAAAGCACCAAATAATCACACATTTGAACAGCCACGTGTTCTTGCAAGATGTTTTATCATGGTTTTGTAGCTTTTGACTGGTTTTAGCTGTATATTAAGAATATCAGAAAATCAGACACCTTGACACGTAAACAATCGAACCTAACCCTTCAAACACTTCAACGAGGATGATGTCACCTTAAGGAAAAACGTTTATACTTACTGAATGTATAGATGTGAAATGTTTATCGTCATTAATATCACTGGAATTTGCAATGACAAGGTCAAATGTGACCCAGATCAACTTTTCGATTGACTTGTTTGTACAGTTTAATTATGGTTTGATATCCCTGTTTGTACTCATACTCTGAAGACTATGCTTGTTTAGAAGGTATCAAATGAATACATCCAGAGCAGCATGGCTCAACCACATCTGTATATATCCATTCTCACGAAAGGCCGAAAGAAAGTTTACAAATTAAGATGACAAATGCAGACAAGAATTTGAAGCATGGCGGCAACCTGTGTGTATCCTCAACTATAAACACTAAACTTATGAATTTTGAAACGTTTGATCTGTACTTATTTGTATTCAGATGTATATATCCAGGGCAGCATGGCTCAACTACACCTGTATATATCCATCCATCCGATAGAGACCAAAATAAATTTCATATGACGGTTTTGGAGTAAGTGGTAATAGAACAGGGAAGTAAGAATTGTAAAGGTGACCTTGAAAGACAATTATAACTGATCTAGGAGTAGGGATTTGAATTGAAGATACTTTGTTAACTGTATCAACTGATATCTGATGTTAGCATCCTTATATACTATGATTATACAGATTGTCGTGTTGATGTCTTCAGTGTGACAAGCACAGATGTGGGAGCAGCACGGCTATGGGGACACTCCAGTCCTTGAGAGTTGTTATACATCGTGGAGGAAAGAAGCTGGGTCCACACTAGTCCATTGGTATTCGGGGGAAATGCCTGTTGGAGAGATAGATATTTATAAAATGCCTTAGTTACGTCGCAGTTCGACACCGATTTTCAGTATATAAGTCTGTTCTTTAAATAATTGTAGCAATTATCCCTCTTGTTTATCCAGATTCACGATGGTTAATTCTGACTCGATCGCCGAATGACAAGTGCGACGCCATGTTTGTAAAACGTGAATATGAAAGCATGAGAATTAAAAATAAATGATCCGGGTATGTTGTACATATATGGAAAGGCCAAATAAACACGCTGCCGAACATTTAAGTAGTAATCAGCTAAACATAAAGGTTTGTATAAACTAGTGTCTAATTAGGGTTGCAACTTCACAAGACAATATCACTGTCTGAGTAACGAAACGTATATATAATGTATAAAATCGCATACGTAGACGAAAGTGTAATGGTAATATGTTTGGAGAGTGGTATTAACATACTTCCATACTGTGGTGCGCGACGGTGACTACTACAACTGGTATACAATCAATACTACAGTCATAAACTGCAGCGACCGAGCATCCATACACTCACCATAGGTTAGAGCGGTGACGGTTGCAGTAGATCGGTGTGGTAGACGGGTGTGGTAGACGGGTGTGGTAGACGGGTGTGGTAGACGGGTGTGGTTGGTGGGGCGGTGTACAGCTGCGGCAAGGGTGCCTGTAAACGTTGAGATTGTGAACAGATGTCATTTTTCATATACCTGAACACAAACTTAGAACTGAATTGACCAAAGGAGTGTTCTGTAAAGGGAAAGATAGCAGAAAGTCTGTCTATAAGTGAGTTTGGAACTTACCTTATCGCATAGTTCTGTTCAACATCCATAGACGTCAGTGGTAGATACTGCCAACATACTACCTTACACCGCACATGGTTGGGAATATTCTCCTTTAACTCAGTGTATCATGAATGTCAACCGAAATATTTTGTTGAGGTGACGTTTTAACCAAATGCAATTTGATACGTTCTCGGAAGAAAACTTTCACAACAATTCCCTGACTAAAGACGTTGACCAAATACAATTACCCTAGAAAATGTTTGTGAATACGACCGAGTCATCGTTCAACAAGAAGGTGTTAGCGGGTGTTTCAGGTAGAAATGTGAGCCATGAAACATGAAACACCCCTCAACACCTCGGAGCTTCCGAGTCATCAGGAGGTACACATGGACAACTTCCGGGACTTGTAAGAGGACGAACGTGTCAAAAGCAGGATGTTGTACCAAGTTTTAAACATACAAAACAGATCCTGATAATTCCAACATGTTAAGTTGGCATCTTTCGATCTTCCTGGTTATGTGAATATTGATGAAATGAAATGATTCAGTAATAAGATACATGGATAAAGAGTGTATCAGAGGGTGTCAATTCCTGCACATGAAGCGGTGTAATTGGCGGATGTTGGAGAGGGTAGCCGCACCACACCTGAAGCAAAAACAATATTTTGTTAATTTCAGAATCAATCAATTTTTTAAACAAACATGACGATCAATTCACATACGTGTGGCATTTTTTGAAGACTGACAAATAATGTAGGAATTGCATGCACTAATATGACAACTGTATCTAGATACATGAAGAATTAATTCCTACAGTATACATGATTCCTTTACAGCTTCAGTTTTACTTACTGATGGCGTGAAGAAGTCGGTGACAGTTGGATTGTTGACGGTGAGGCGGCTGGAGGATGAGGCTGAGGTTGGTGGAAACTGAGGATGGACGGCAACTGAGCCTGGCAACTGTTAAGGTGAGTGAGGCTGCGTTCTGGTCAGTCGGAACCACACCTGAAGTGATGAGAAGATTTTCGTAAACATATATGAAAGAGGCAATTAACAAGCATCAGGATAAGAACATCTATTATTTGCCATCAAGAATCTACTTTAGAAACTAACTTTGTTTATAGTGAGACCATGGACAGCTGGGTATGTTGGCTGGTCCGGATTAGTTTGGTAAGAGTCTGACAAGTATGTCAGGGGATGTACCTGAGGCAGGTGGAGGTGGAGGCAGGTGGCGACTGAGGCTGGTGGCGAGTAGCAACTGAGGCTGGTGACAACTGAGGCTGGTGGCAACGGAGGCTGGTGGCAACGGAGGCTGGTGGCAGGTGGCGACTGAGGCAGGAGGCGACTGAGGCTGGTGGCGACTGAGGCTGGTGGCGACTGAGGCAGGTGGCGACTGAGGCAGGTGGCGACTGAGGCTGGTGGCGACCGAGGCAGGTGGCGACTGAGACTGATGGCGACTGAGGCTTGACACAACCTTTAGAAAAAAAAATAATGTTTAAAAATTCTATTAATCTTATTCTGGTTGACTCGTTTGTTATTTCAGCATATGTCAGACAAACAAGCTATTCAAAGAATTCCCTGGCCACACTCGATATACATTGACTTTGTGCTTGGTCTTTTCACACTAATTTCATATGCGTCAGACCTGTTCCTCTTTGACGAGGTGTATTGAATTGGAGTTTCTGGAACATCTAAGGGTGGCAAGAGTAATCATTGCATGTGGAAAGGGTGAATGTTGTAATATTACTGACTGCGGCGTTCTACATCTAACATTTGACTGACAAGCGAACAGTGGTCGATGGCATTGTAGAATGATCAACGTAAGTACAATCACACATGTGACTGGCCCTAATTGTATTCAACATGTAGGTACTGGGTTATATATTCTGCCCTGGGTCACCTCGAGAGCATATAGAAGAACCCTGTTAAATGTTGGTATGTGGGTGAGGCCCAAACTCGCTAAATGCAATGTCTGTTCCCAATACAGGATATTTATTATCCAAAAATACACTCGCGTGATAATATCAATAAGTAAAAATAGAGGTTATCTGCCCACTGGTGTTAGGTGCAATCGAGTGGCGTCAGGGGACGTTTCCGTTCTTCATTGAGAATATAAAGTATCCAGTTAAATTGCATGGATCTAGCGTTCATGTCTTAGTACTCACCACAGACTAGAGCGGAGGTGTGGTAGACGGTTGTGAATAGAATTTAGAAAAGTCTGGGAGTTCTGAATGTCTTAAGTTGTTTGGAACGGCCTGTCTATAAAATAAGTGACACTTTTTAACCATCAACGCACAGTTTGAAACTTACCTTGTCACTTAGTTCTGTTCAACAAACATCCATCTTCGTTGTAGACTGATATTGCCAACACCCTACCATAGCACCGCACATGATAAGGAAGAGACGTCTTCAACTCAGTGTATCAAGAAAACAAACTGAAATATTTTGTTGAGGTGATGCAACCAGTAAGATCTGACATGCTCATTTGAATGCTGGTATTAAAATCTTTCACAACAATCCCCTGACTGACGTTGTCCAAATACAATTACCCTAGAAAATGTTTGTGAATACGACCGAGTCATTGTTCAACAAGAAGGTGTTAGCGGGTGTTTCAGGTAGAAACTGAGCCATGAAACATGAAACACCCCTCAACACCTCAGAGCTTCCGAGTCATCAGGAGGTACACATGGACAACATCCGGGAATTGTAGGACTAATGTGTCAAAGCAGGACGTTGTACCAAGTTTTAAATAAACATGTTAAGTTGGCATCTTTGGATCATCCCAGTCAAGATAGATAGAATGTTTTTAACAGTTTATGTATAAGATATATTGATATCGAGGGTATCAGAGGGTGTCTATTCCTGCACATGAAGCGGCGTAATTGGCATGTGTTGCAGAAGTAACATGTCACCACACCTGAAGAAGAAACAATATTTTGTTAATTCCAGAATTATTCAATCACTTCTATAAACACACATGAAGACCAGATCACGTTTGAAAGTTGTTTTAGTGGACGGACGAGTAACGAGAATGTATGCACTAACATTTAACTGTTAAAGTGTACTTTTAAGCATAAAATCAATCTCGTTTCAAATTGACGGGAAAATGTTTGCTCTAAAGAATTCATTCCAAGAGAATAAATATATCGTTTATAACTATCGTTTAACTTACCGCATTTGAGGATGTAACAGCAGATTAACCTCGTCGCCAAAGACGGCTGGTGGACACTGAGGGTGGACACCTATCGCTGCCGGATGAACGAAGCTTGGTCGTTTACGATGCCTGAAGTAAGGAGAAACAAACCATTTACACCAGGGTGGAAACACCTATTGATTGACCAAGATACACACTAATCTACTAATCGACAAATCATCCCCCAATACCAATTTTACAATTTAAAGAGAGGTTGCCTCAATGCCGAACAGTTAATCCATGTAATATATGTCGATGTATTTTCATAGAGAACAGAACAGTTTGATGTTGGAGTGTGAGTGAGTGAGTTTGGTTTTACGCCGCTTTTAGCAATATTCCAGCAATATCACGGCGGGGGACACCAGAAATTGGCTTCACACATTATACCCAGTTTGATGTTGGAGGAAAGCTAGAATTGATGCAGGTCTCAGAATTCACCACTTTGGGCAGAGTCACCATTGCGTGAGGAAAGGTGAGGAGGTGAACGTTGTAGAACGCCCAAGGCAGCAATATTACAGCTAACATTTGACTGACAAGCAAACTGGTTGATGGGGTTGTAGAATGATCAACGGGAGTACAATCACACTTGTGACTGGCCCTAATTGTATTCAACAACCATAAGGTACCGGGTTACCTATTCTGCCCTGGGTCACCCCCGTATAGAAGAACCCTGTTAAATGTTGGTTTCGTGGGTGAGGCCAATGCTCGCTAAATGTTCCCATAATGACTGGAAAATGTTTGCCCTCAAGAATTAAGTATAGTTTAACTTACCACATTTTGGGATGCCCCTTATCGTTGCCTCTTCCTGATGAAAGCCACCTGGTCGTTGGTTACGATGTCTGAAGTAGTAAGGAGATGTTCGTCAACATATGTAGAAACATACGATTGAAACACCAGGGTGGAAAAACCTCTTCTTTCACCAAGATACACACTAATCTACTTCTGCAACACCATGCTTGCTGTAAAGGCGACTTTGCTTGTAAGAGGCGAGTAACGGGATCGGGATCGATGTTCATGTCAATCACTGGATTGTCTGGTCTAGTCTCGATTATTTACAGACCACCGTCATATAGCTGGAATATTGCTGAGTGCGGCAAGCAACAAACAAACTAACTTCTGCAACCATCTACTAACACCAATTTCCGAAACATATCAATCCTGTCCGCAAATCTTTAAAATTTTACAATTTAAAGAGGTTGCCTCAGTGCCGAACATGGATCCACGCTATTTGAATACAATGACATGCATCAACTAAGTTACGAGCCTGACCACCCGATCCCGTTAGATAATTGTTACAAGTATGGGTTGCTGAAGGTTACGTTTGATCCAGATCTTCACGGGGCTAAATGTGAGTGGGTGAGTGGGTGCTGTGACTGTATATCATTATTCCACCAATATCAGAGATTGGGACCAGAATGGGCACAACACGTGGGATAACGTAACAATAGTTGTGTATGTCAAGCTAGCGGTTGATCCACTAGGTCAACCCACGTAGAATAGGTCGATGTGTTGACTGCCTCCCTTTGTAAATGATACATCTCGACACATTGGGTCAACTTACTGGTGATGCCTCCTCCCAGGGTCATCTGAAGAGCACCAGCAGGCTTGCGGACGCGTCCCCTTCTCTGTAATGAAAAACAATACTTAGACCCACTTACGAGGAATGTATATATAAACGATACAAATCATTTATCACGTTCCTATTGTGTCGGTTTGCGATTTAACGCCGGGGTCAGCAATAGGTCTTTATATAATCGAGTCTGGAACAGACAATCTAGTGAGTGACCATGAACATCAATTGGGATATGATGACACGATGTTACTGAACCTGACCACCCGATCCCGTTAGTCGCCTCTGACAAGCAAGTCGCATTTCATGGCAAGCATGTTCACGGGACATGTTGGGGTTTATTGTCGGAGTATATCAGTGTTATGGTGAAGTATCGGATTAAAGTGAGACCAAGTTCTAGGGAACAGCCATCGTTAAAGGATATATTAACGATACTAATCACGTATCGATGATGTTCCTTTTGTAGAAAGTGAGGGATGTTGCAATTTCAAGCTTGCTGTTGAGACTTGCAGCTATGAAAATACCATATGCGATGAAAGATGTATGTCTCAAGTTCATTGTAAAATCAATCAATATCATACAATTAAAACTATTATTTATATCATACAGAGTGATAGCATTGCTATTAAAAGAAACGTCTGTCTGTTGCTGTATGTAGAGGCAAGAAATACAAAATTTACTGAATAGAAGTGTCTAAATCTCGGACTATTGGTCAGGTATCTGCTTACGCTAGTCAGATCGACTCATTTTATCATTGTACCGCCGCTTCTGCAGAGCGAACTGCGGCGCCTTCGATGACTGGGCCACCCATGCGACAATGAAACACCCTAACGCACTATTGTCCTCTGATGCAGTTGCATTAAGGAGGTACGGCAAAATGCCAGTCGATGCTGGTCAAACCAGTACTTCTACAATCGTTGGGTATGGAAGTCAATTAACAAGAGATGAAACAAAATCTCACCGAAGTCCTTTGTGCCTCATCTAAAACACGCAGCAGAGCCTGGTTGGGTTGTTGTTGTTGCTGCTGCTGCTGCTGTTGCTGCTGGTCGCGAGCCTGCCTCTGCTGTTCCATCCGTCTTTGCTGTTGACGCTGTTGCTGTTGTTGCTGACGAATCATGGCTACCGTCCTCTGCCTGTGTCGCTGATATCGCCTATTGTTGGCAGCCTGATTCTGAGAGAAAAAATACCCAATTATAAGATATAAGATTATAAGATTACTGTACTATTTTAATGGCGAAATAACTGTTGTATTCATATAAATAACTGAACTGTCTGTACTATATACTGCAGCTATGTGACGGCGATCTGTAAACAGTCTTGACAGTCTTGTGATTGACATCATGAGCATCGATCAACTCAATTGGGATACGAGGACAGGCATCAACCAAGTCAGTGGGCGTGCCATCCGATCCTGTTAGTCGCCTCTCTAGTATTTACAGATCGCCGTCATGTGACTGTAGTGAGTGAGTTAATATTGAACGTCACATCTAAAAACCTGTCATCGATGGACAGTACGATCAATAGAATATCACAGATAAATATATAAAACTAGCATTCAACCATAAAAAGATATCAATATATGTAATAATACAATATAAAAAAAGGTCTAAACATCGTCAACGACTGAAGGTAGATCACCATGCTAGGGTCTCGTGTGGCTTGAATATTGCTGAGTGTGGCGTTAAACAACAAACAGATCAATGTACAAAATCATGACCATGTGATAGATATTGTGAGCATCGATCCACGGCGTCGAGGTACGATTCAGGAAATCAATTAAGTCACCCAGCCTGATCCCCCGATTCACTAAGTCACCTAGCCTGATCCCCCGATCCACTAAGTCACCTAGCGTGATCCCCCGATCCACTAAGTCACCTAGCCTGATCCCCCGATCCACTAAGTCACCCAGACTCATCCCCCGATCCACTAAGTCACCAAGACTGATCCCCCGATCCACTAAGTCACCTAGCCTGATCCCCCGATCCACTAAGTCGCCTAGCCTGATCACCCGATCCACTAAGTCACCTAGCCTGATCCCCCGATCCACTAAGTCGCCCCTAACGAGCAGTATATGTTGCTGTGGGCCATTCTATCCCGGAATCACCAGATGTTTTAGTGGAACATTGTGTTGCTATGCACAGGAGTGTTGAATACGAGGTTTAACTGAAATGCTCAGGGGAGGAAGAAAACGCGATGGTGAAGCTAAGCCCTAAATTGAGGTCCTTTAACAATGTCAAGGACGATTAATTCAGGCATCCTAGGCTACATGGCAAGAGAGTTAGTAAAAAAAGATGAATCGAATACTGTCAATGAGAATTAACTCACAGTTGGAACCGTCGCTGTCGCTAAAGTCCCTAAAGTTACTGCCGTCCCTGCCGTCACTGGTGCAGTTGAAGTGGAAGATGCCGAGGTGGAAGATGCCGAGGTGGAAGCTGCCGAGGTGGGAGCTGTCGAGGTGGAAGCTGCCGAGGTGGAAGCCTACGAAGCAATGTAAGAGTAGGTGTGTACATGCATGTATACAGACAGTGCACGTGCTCGTTTTGTATATCGTGTAGCGTGCCTGGACAAACTCCAGGTGGCCCAAACAAATGTTTTCCATGCCTGTTACCGACCCTAAAACATGCCTTGTTTCTTCAGGGAGATTTATATTTAATATATGACAGTAACTACCTATAGCCCTGACAATAAAACAACGCTTAGTCACCAATGTGAGTTATGAACTGAATGTGAAAGGCTTCATTTTGCCCTAGCTCATTTCCTAAGTACATGTAGACTGGAATACGAATTGATGAGCACATCTCTCGTTTTCATAATTATGAAGTTTGATTACAATTTATCTAGTAGTTATATAAATAGTCGAAGAGTTATCTCAGAGACTCGATTACGTCATTGTGCAGAGGGCGGTCGGGTAGCCTAGTGGTTAAAGCGTTCGCTCGTCACGCCGAAGACCCGGGTTCGATTCCCGACATGGGTACAATGTGTGAAGCCCATTTCTGGTGTCCCCCGCCGAGATATTGCTGGAATATTGCTAAAAGCGGCGTAAAACCATACTCACTCACTCACTCATTGTGCAGACAGAAGACGTAGCTCCAACACTGCAGGTACGGCCTGAGTCAACATCAAGGTGTCACCCACCACAAGACTGTTATGATGTTCACATTGGTGTGTCTCACTTACAATTACCTTCAGTTGCCTGTTCTCCTTCACCTGCCTAATGTCCTCCTTAGCCTGTCGAACCTCCTCTATTGCCTGCCGGTTCTCCTCCCTCAGTCGCCGGTTCGCCTCCCTCAGTCGCCGGTTCGCCTCCCTCAGTCGCCGGTTCTCCATTGCCTGCCGGTTCTCCTCCCTCAGTCGCCGGTTCTCCTCCCTCAGTCGCCGGTTCTCCTCCCTCAGTCGCCGGTTCTCCTCGCGGAGCTGGCGGAGCTCGGTCTCGACAAGCTGCCACACAACAAATGTAAGATGTTAGCCTATTGCAGTTATAATGCTTCACCTATGTATTCAAGGCGTGTGTACATAGGAGTGAGTGAGTGAGTGAGTGAATGAATGTACATTGAAATAACTAGAATACCACAGACTGATATGTAAAACTAGCATAGGAGTAAGACGGATTAGGCATGTATAGAACTCGTGAGACTGGTGGAATGAGTTGAAGCAGACATATTAAACCAAAACTATTTACTCACATTCATTGGTGCCGCCCCCCGACGGTCTGGCACTGCTGACCGCCTCCTTGCTGCCGGAGTCGTCGTCATCGGGGTGGCGAATGGTGTAGAGGAGATCGACGACATCCTGGATGTTGACGGCGTCTGGTCCGCCTGCTGTGCCTGGGAGGTGCCCTGGGTCGCTGGAGGTGCCTGGGAGGTGCCTGGGGGGTACCCTGGGAGGTGCCCTGGGTCGCTGGAGGTACCTGGGTGGTGCCCTGGGTCGCTGGAGGTGCCTGGGAGGTGCCTGGGAGGTGCCTGGGTCGCTGGAGGTGCCCTGGGTCGCTGGAGGTGCCTGGGAGGTGCCTGGGGGGTACCCTGGGAGGTGCCCTGGGTCGCTGGAGGTGCCTGGATGGTGCCCTGGGTCGCTGGAGGTGCCTGGGAGGTGCCCTGGGTCGCTGGAGGTGCCCTGGGTCGCCTGCGGGGCCAATCCGAGAGACGTGAAAAAAGAGAACATGATCGCTGGAATCAAATAGGTGTAAATAATCGCTAGAAGAAGTATGGAGGTGTGCAGAGATCGTAAAACGAGATGCGCGATGCGCCTGTGGAAGTATCCATGTTTTATAGTCCAACCCGAAGGAGCATCCATTTGATTTCAAGGGGGTGGGGGTTGGGGGGTTGGGGGGTTGGGGTGGTTCGGGTGGTGGAGGAGCTTGATTAAGGTTTGAGATTAGTTGATTTTACACAGACATTTGACTCCTCGATAATACAATACCCACTTTCTGTAAGAAAAAGGCATATAACTGTTTTAAATACAGCAGGGGATTGAGTCTCATTTTAGGAAATAAACCCCCACCCCCTCCACCCGACAATAAGATGGTTGCTCCCTTAGCCACAGTCAAACCAGCAAGCACGTGCCCAGGGACTATTGGGTGTTCAGTGACAAGCAACTGAAAGCGTGTACGTTGATTTATTCTCGTGACGCTCAAACATATAGCTAAGTCACCAGCACCTTGAAACAATGGGGAGACGTCACCATCCTCCCGGCCTATCTGACAGTGTTATGCAACGATGCTCTGGATGGACATGTCGAACGTGCTCTACTCGAGTGACACGCCTTGCACATTTCATGGGACATCAGCCAGACAATGGAAATCAACATCGTGTAAAAACATCGCACACACAACATTTTACCAATAATATTATTTCATTTATAAGTTGATCATTCTTGATCATTATCCATGTTTCAACGTCCATTGTCCACACACTATCGCTGCAATATTCAGTCAGAATTGTTAGAATAGTTACTTTTCATGCTTTTCCTCATTGGCGTGCATGTCATATTAGTAAACTTTATCATCACGTGTTACGGATTTCATTAAAGCACATTTTCAGAAATAACCTGTTTGATACAAACTGCTTTATTTGATTTGACAGGGATCCTTACAAGTAACCACTTTAACCTACAGGGGGATAGGGTGGGGTGGGGTGGGGTTCGGGTGGGGTGGGGTTGAGGTGAGATGGGGGTCGGGTCGGGGTGGGGGTGGGGGTAATCTATGGGATAAAGCATTCGCTCGGCCAGCCGAAGACCGGTTCAGTTCCTCACATTGGTAGACCGCCTCCGTGGTCTAGTGGTAGAGCGTCTGTCCGGAGGGCGGAAGGCCGTGGGTTCGATCCCAGGCGGGGTTACAATATGGTACTTGTTGTTACCTTGTCTGACGCTCGGCATTAAGGTTGGTTGTTGGTTTGTTGTTTTACGCCGCACTCAGCAATATTCCAGCTATATGACGGCGGTCTGTAAATAATCGAGTCTGGACCAGACAATCCAGTGATTAATGTCATGAGCATCGATCCACGCCATTGGATCGATGACATGCATCAACCAAGTCAGCGAGCCTGACCACCTGATCCCGTTAGTCGCCTTTTACGACAAGCATAGTCACCTTTTACGGTATGTATGGGTTGCTGAAGACCTATTCTACCCCGGAATCTTCATGGGCTTCAGCATTAAGGGGCTAAAGCAAGGACTGGCCGTCTCGGAGTCAGTAAACTCTGTCTGAGTGGGGTATTCATGTTAAACTGAGGCATGGTAGCTCAGTAGGCTAGCACTATAAATTCGGCATTAGTCCGGACTAACAAGTAGGCACGTCGCTATGTGAGTACGACCCCATTTCACCTCACTTCCTCTTTATTTGATTTATTTTTAATACAATAACTTTTGAAAATATCGTTTTGTGAGTATAGTTGGTTGGTTGGTTTGTTGTTTAACGCCGCACTCAGCAATATTCAAGTTATATGACGGCGGTCTGTAAATAATCGAGTCTGGACCAGACAATGCAGTGATTGATATCATGAGCATCGATCCACGAAATTGGGATCGATGACATGCATCAACCAAGTCAGCGAGCCTGACCACCTGATCCCGTTAGTCGCCTTTTACGACAAGCATAGTCGCCTTTTAGGGCGAACATGGGTTGCTGAAGACCTATTCTACCCCGGATCTTCTCGGGCCTTGTGAGTATAGAGCCTGATCGTTTGACATATATTGAGAGATATACCGCATGAATATTACCACGAATTGTTCATAATCAAATGTCACAGACATGGGTTTCACATGTACATTTGTGTTGTGTGTAGAGAATAGCGTAAATGGGTCGTTTAGCGTTATATAATTCAACATGTGGCACAGACACTGTTATCCTGTTTAATTCATACGTTTCTGTGTTTAGGAAATTTTCAGGTAAGTTTCCCACCTTCATTGTGGACTGCCAGTAATCTGAACAGGCAAACCATCTGCTGGTAGAATGATGTACTACGACCGTCGCTACTACTACTACTACTACTACTACTACTACTACTACTACTACTACTACTACACCGCCACAACGACGACGACCACCACCACTACTATTACTACTACAACAACCAGTATCATCACTACGACTACATCATCTCCCTCTACTACCCACCCGTGAAGATCCGGGGTAGAATAGGTCTTCAGCAACACATGCTTGCCGTAAAAGGCGACTATGCTACAAAAGCCACTCCAAAAAAACAACAAAATCTATCATAAAACCAAAAGAATCGACAAGGCAATTATCAAATTACAAACAGGTCACACTAAAGTACTGTCGGAAATGCTAGAAAACTGCTTTTCTGGCTTCATGTAATAAATACGAGCCAAATGACATAATGAAAAAGAGCATATATCAAAATAACATTTGTGGGTATTGATTTACAGTTTGAGATAATTTCAGCCAGCTGTTCGAAGTCTTAGTCTGAACCTATTTTCTTAAAGCATGGATGTCGTAGTACTAAAGTACTCTAGGAAATGAAAAAAAGCCCCTGTTTTTTCGATCTCATATTTTAAATAAATGCAGTAACTGTTAATATACAAAATATATAAATATTCAAACAACTCAATTAGTACTAATTGGGCCTCGATTATTTACAGACCGCCGTCATATAGTTGGAATATTGCCGAGTGCGGCGTTAAACAACAAACCAACCAACCAACCAACTCTTGTCGGATGAAACTGCAGGTTTTGTAATTGCATTATTTCGTCCTTTTTTACACACTATTAACACCAAGTGTTTAACCTCTGAAACAATAAAACATAAGACTTAATACCCTAAATATAGGATCCAACATTCCACATCATCGAGTCATATAAAGTTGTAAACCAACGACACTCCAGCCAACCTAAAATGTATTCGTTGTAACTAATGCACCAAGTGCTCATTTGGCTGAAGTAGTAGGTGACTTAACAATAGGATCGGAATCTAAATGTTCTGTTAACAATACACCTAGATAATAGTAACTCTCTACAGTTTCAAGATCATCGCATACGAATATGCAGCCTGTCTTCCTGAATTGAACCACATATGATTTATGAGTATTTACACACATATTGTAAATGTTGCACCATGTACTGTGACAGTCAAGCATTGTCTGAAGTTCTGTAATATATTAAGACAATATCATCAGCATAATAGAGGCGTCAGAATGTATTAAAAATGTATATTTTCTCGTCACGATATGGCTGAATTATTGCCCATGTGACGTAAAGCATTAACTCACTCACTCACCAGATGTCGTGGTATGATCAAACACAGACAACAAGCCACCGAGCCAGACCACATGACACATTTAGCCGTCACTAACAACAACAGGTTTCTAGGGACCCGAAATCAACTTGTCTCAAATGGGTCAATAATTCTACATTATAAAAATGTTTGACCAAGAACATGTCTCTTGTTCCTTTTGTTTTACTTTACACTAAGCAGACAATGTTAATTTGAGACGTGGCACAATTAATATTCGCTTACCATGGCGCGATGGTATGTTTCAATATGAAGCTCATTTGTAAAACCAATGTGGACCCTCTTAGGAGGGTGCGTTTTCAATCTGAATATCCCCTTGGGCATTCCACTCTAGAACTGATCGTAAGAAGAGATTTCGTGGATTGGGCGGGGCAGGTTCGATTACGTGGTTACCGGCTTGCCATCGCACGTAAACGGCGTAGACTGCAGCTAATGATATCAATCAGGATTCATCAGTTCAGACTAGATTATTTACATTCCGCCAACATAATACTGGAATATTGTGCGACACTCAACCACAAACCAACAGACACTCGAAATCTGAAGATAGTACATATATGCATTGAAGATAAAACTAAAAGTGAGTGAGTGAGTGAGTTGGGTTTAACGCCGCTTTTAACAGTATTCCAGTTATATCGCGGCGTGTCAGCTTCATGTGGGAGGAAGGCCCGAAGTGATGCAGCTCTCAGACGTTTACCACTTCGGTGAAACCCACGAGCACGGGTATGGTGCTGACAAACCTAGAAACATAATCGGGGCGAACCCAAGGGACGCAACTCTGCACAGCGAATCGCGGCGCCTTAGACGACTGGGCCACCCGTGCCCCCGATAAAACTTAAAAGGAAGGTAAGTTAGATTATCTTTTAAGACCCTACTGCTCTGCTACCTATGGCAGGAATGTAGTCAGACGCATATGAACCTATCCTAACTATCGAAACTACCATGTTGTACAAAGAAACTCCGAAATAACATGATATGCTCAAGGCCGTAACTTCCATGTGTTTCTATTCAAACAAAGATCACAAAACACACATAGAACACATTTATTACCATTTGGCTGCCATATGCTGTTCTCGGGCACAAACTGCCGCCATCTTCAACGAGTGGCTCTCCCAGGGTGGACGGGTACATTATGAATTATGATTAGATTATGACTTTCGCGATCCACCAGACCAATTATACCTATTAATCCTGTTTCTATAACTGTCTTCAGTCGGGTTTGATTCCATGGACACCGATGGCGCTCGCAAATGTTTCTTTACGAATCAGACGTTCTGCTCGGATTGGCAAAATAAAAAATATGGCAATTTGGCCAAGAAATTTGGTGCATGCTTAAAGTTGCTTCATGATCTAATATCGTTCAATAACGGTCAAATAGAAAAGTCCCTTCCAAAGATGTACCCACCTCAGCTA